CTTACTAGAGAAGACGGGTTATCAGTTCACAATGTGGAGGTTACGAATAAACTTCTATCTGATCATTTCGCACTTACAATGAACCTCAATATTAAACGAGCTACTATCTCTACTAGACAGATAACTTATCGTAAATTTAAATCAATGAATTCTGACGAATTCAGATCGTCATTGGATTTTTCTCGGATATCAGAAACCGCATCGATACAAAATGTTCATCAAAAAGCTGTTCATTTCAATGAATGTATCCAGTATGTGTTAGATCAGGTTGTTCCAATTCAGACTAAAACTATCAAGGTCAGACCAGGGAATGTGTGGTTTAATGAAGAGATACGTGAGGCAAAACGGGGGCGTAATAGGGCGGAGAGAAAATGGCGACAGACAGGTTTAGTAGTTCATAGGGAAATTTATCACGCGGCAAAAGTTAGTGTTACGCGTCTTATTGAAAACTCAAAAGCTTCATATTATAAAGACAAGATAGAAACTAGTAATAATTCTAAAGAACTTTATATGGTTGTTAATTCTCTTCTTGACCACAACCATGGTGTCAAAATATTACCCTCCGTAAATAATTTGTACTTGCCAACTCGATTCTCAGAATATTTTGAAAGTAAAATTCTTAATATTAGGAATAATTTCACTGATAAAAATTCCATTCATGACCATGAGAAAAACATTTCGAGTGCTCTGGACAGATTTGAAATATTGTCTCAGGACGAAATCTCTCGTGTCATCAAATCTATGGCAACAAAATCATGTGCCTTGGACCCATTGCCAACACAGATACTGAAAGATCAGCTTCCGGTATTACTCCCGACTATTTGTGACATCATAAACTCTTCGTTTAGAACCGGAACATTCCCAGATATCTATAAACATGCCAATGTAATCCCTCTCATTAAGAAACCCTCGCTTGATCCAAACCAAGTCAAGAACTATAGGCCGGTATCCAACCTAAGTTTTGTGTCGAAAGTTCTAGAGAAATGCATCGCAAAACAATTGATTGGTTATATATCTGAATTTAGTCTTCTCAGCACCTATCAAAGCGCCTACCGTCAATATCATAGCACAGAAACTGCACTGTTAAAAGTACAAAATGACATTCTCTTGTCCATTGATAATCAAAGCTGTGTGTTTTTGCTGCTTTTAGATCTTTCTGCAGCATTTGACACAGTTGACCACAAGGTGCTGTTCTCGCGACTTGCTGGTGAATTTGGTGTAACTGGTTTAGCTCTCGAACTACTTAAATCTTATTTAACAAATCGTTCCCAATCTGTCATTATACACAACAATCTGACAAAAAAGATCTGAGCTTCTGTGTACCGCAGGGCTCAGTTTTAGGCCCAATTTTGTTTAGCATATACACCACCCCATTGTCCAAAATTATTGAGAAACATGGTCTGCAGTTCCAACTTTACGCAGATGACACTCAGTTGTACCTGTCGTTTAAACCCTCTCTGCCTGGAGATTTCAATACATCAAAATATCAAATTGAAGAGTGTATTAGTGAAATTTGTGTATGGATGGGAATCAATTTCCTTAAACTGAACCACGAAAAGACTGAATATATTCTTTTTGGATCAAACAATTTAGTATCTAAGTTTGATAAAGGTGTTTTCACTCTTAGTTGGTGAGCATGAAATAATCCCAACATCTTCAGTCTGTAACATTGGTGTTATCTTTGACAGTGAACTATCCATGGAGAAACAAATTAGCAATATTTGCAGATCTTGTTATTTTCAACTGAGGAATATAAGTAAAATCAGTAAAAATTTGCCAGTTGAGTCCATCAAAACTGTTGTTCAGGCGCTTGTCACATCACGATTAGATCAATGTAATTCGTTACTTATTGGTTTACCATCTCGTCTCACTGATAAATTGCAAAAGGTTCAGAACGCTGCAGCTCGACTCATTACCAGATGTAAATATAATGATCATATCACCCCTATTTTAATTCAACTTCACTGGTTACCCATTGTTTTTAGAATTCAATATAAGGTCATTCTTTTAACTTTTAAATGTTTAAATCATATGGCACCGTTGTATTTATCGTCGCTTTTAGATACATATTCCCCTACTCGTACATTGAGGTCCTCAAGTGACCATTATTCACTTGTCTGTAAAACAGCTAGACTGAAAACTTACGGTGAACGATCGTTTACAGTGCAGGCCCCTAAACTGTGGAATAAGCTCCCACTTACTCTCAGAAGTTCTACCTCTTTATCGAGTTTTAAATCGCAATTGAAAACACTTTTATTCAAACAAGCTTTTGATTTATAGATTTATTTTTACTGTTTTAATTTTATACAATTATTATAGATTTTTAAACGTATGTTTTATTTTTTATATTTTTTTATGTAATATTTATTGTACAGAGCATCTGAACACATTTTGTGAAAGCGTGCGCTATATAAATGATGATAATAATAATAATAATAATGATATTGTTAATCTGACTATTGACAAGTCATTATTTGGAACAGAAATTTGCCTCCATTACAGCAGTGTTAATTGGGATTAGCTCTAATCAAACAAAACACTGCGAGGAGTATGGGTGACTTATTGTATGCCTGCTTGATCTCGGCCCCCATTTATGTACCTTGACCTTGTAGATTGATCGCGTAAATTATTATTTTCCGTCCTAGTCCGACTTTTTTCCATGTGCGAATGAGATTCAGTAAAAAGGCATTCGTCTATAATGCAAAATGCAGAATCGAGAAGTGTAATGTGCAAAATAACTATTATACTGTATTTTGTATTATTGAAAAGTGTATTCTGAATTTCAACACTGTGACATTGGTATTGTGGAGCAATAGAAATTGCAAATTGTAAAACTATAAAAATAGGTATTTTGAACTGCTGACATTTGCATTTTGCACTGGTAACATTGAAATAATATTGGTAACATTGAAATGATATTAGCAACATTATTCTTCCATAGGTAATGGGTCATCATGCCATACAATCATAATATGACTACTAATTGGTGCGGACTAATTTTTCAAATTGACATTAAAACAACAAGCATGTCAAAGTCAAAGTCACCCCATTTTACCTTATAGTAAATGTAGGAGGACCATGCCACACACAAACAGAAATCCTCTAGACAAACCCACAGACATTGCAAGAAATAAAAAGCAAAGTATAAATATGAAATCAACTAAGTGGATCCGGAGACTAGCCTTATAAGCGTCCACTGCTATTTTTAAAGTTAAAAAATCCATGGTATAATAAAATATTAATTATTAACTAAGTAGGTCAATATTCAAGTAAGTTTCTCCTATTGAAATGTCCTTGATTTTACAGACAAATAATTAAAATTATACCTTCAATTTTTGATATTGTGTAGGGCTAAATTTTTAATAAAAGGTCATCTCAAGGTCACGTGGGCCACAGGGTCAAGTTCAAGGTCAAAGTAAATTTTTGGGGGTAAAAACATGTTACAAAAGATTAGTTTTTTAAAGGAGCAGGTCAATATCCCATAGGTTTCTCCTTTAAAAATAACATTTTTATGTTTTAGGTTTAATTTTAGTGTTTTGTTTTTTTTTATAAACGTGGGGCATCAGCCATTATGGGGCTACAAAGAGTGTTAAAATGGACACAAAAATTATTTTTGAATTGAAATATATCCAAAAGCCTTTATTGTCCTATGAATGTTTTTGTATTTTAGAGACAATATGTAGGTAGTCTTGCAATATCACAAAAGAAAATTATGGGATACCCAAGGCTTTTGGAGAAAATGACCATTGAAAAAAGCTCGAAAATTCATTTTCGCGCACTTTTGAGCCACGACACTTTGGTAAGCCAAAGGTATCCAACAGGTTTTTCACTATTTTTCATCTCTACTCATAGCAGCTAACAAGAACCACCCAAATAACCTATGGGTAACCATGTACTTTGTTGTAATTTTTCAGTTAAAGTTCTCCAAAAGCTGTTTTTGAAAATTTGGGTCAATTTTCAAAATCTCATATCTCGGCAACTGACAAAAATAATGATTTCTTTTTTTTAGAATTGTGATTGTAGTACTAAATGGTACAATATGTTGAAAAATTAGAGAATTTGAAGGTTGTCACTAAAGAAAGTCTTGATTTTTGCCTGAATCTTACAGAAAGTGGCTCTAAAGTAATGGTGATCAAGGCTAGCCGGAAATTTCAACCGCTTAGTTCTCAGTTCTTAGTGGATCAATTTGAATGAAATTTTCAGCAAATTGCCTTTACATTATCTAGTTTTTATCTGTTATTATAGTGCGAACTGCCAAATCGTTATCGAATTTCCCATGATGTATCTTTAATCAGATTTTAGTGTATTATAAATGTTCCATTACCGAAAAAAGTAAAAACATGCGACAACTCTTGTTGACTGCCCGGACAATTGAGCTGCTACTGTGGACGTATGTTTCATTGCCTGGCAACCTATCTTTTTATCATTAAACATCAAAACCTACAAAATAATGCTTATTCCACAATTTCTACCCGAAAAGCCGATGGATGGGAATTATGTAACAAACCGAATCGGACTAGACATGTTGTTAATAGCGTTATTCTGTTGGTTTGAATTTGTAAACTTAAAGTAGCTAAGTCTTTAACTCAATATCATCCACGGTCTTCGACATTGAAAACATAAATTATTTGTCAATTTAAATCAACATTGATGTTATCTTACCGGGAAAAGATGGACTTCTGATATCCAATGGTACATGAATCGCGTATTTCACTGAACATAACTGATTTCAAATTAGAGTAAAAAAGGGAAAAGATTGAATGTAAATCAGTTTATATACATTCATATTAAATTATTAAGTGTTGCAACCCATTTGTGTCAATTTCTGGGTCCCAAATATTTGCGATTTAGCTCCTTTAATGTTATAGTGTGTAGACAGTTTATCTCACCTGTGCTTTTTCATGGGAAACCTTCTCTTAATCATTGATAATTGTCTAAATATTGTATGAATTATAACCTTAATGGATAAGCTCCAATAATTTAAAAAAAAAAAATTTCAGGCATGTTTGAGTTGCAGTAATGTAGCATGTGGTCGTTTAAACAATGAACATGCTCTGAATCATTTCGATGATAAAAAGGTAAGTACCAGTATTGTAAAACAATATTATGTATATTATGCAATAAACGCAGGGGACTATTAAAATGGGTTCGTCTGTCTGTCTGTCCGTCCGTCCGTCCATCCGTGACACTTTTTGGGACACAATAACTCTCTTTCTAATTGACCTAGAATGTTCAAACTTGGTGCAGGTGTTTATTAGGTCAGTGCCTTCATGGAGTTCGAAGATAAGCATTTTCTGCTTAGGGTAAGCAGAGATAAGCAATTTGATTGGTTGATGCTTTGGGACACGATAACTTTAGTTCTAATTAAGTGAGAGTGATGAAACTTGGTGTAGTTTCATTACATCAATACCTTGACTAAGTTCGATGTTGAGCATTTTCTGCTCAGGGTAAGCAGAGCGATAAGCAATTTGATTGGCTGAGACTTTGGAACACAATTACTCTTCTTCTTATTGAGCCAGAATGTTCAAACGTGGTGTAGGTGTTTATTAAGACAATGCCTTGATGGAGGTCGAAGATGAGCATTTCCTGCTTAGGGTAAGCAGAGATAAGCAATTTGATTGGTTGATGCTTTGGGACACGATAACTTTAGTTCTAATTAAGTGAGAGTGAGGACACTTGGTGTATAGCTTTGTTACATGAATACCTTGACTAAGTTTGATAATGAACATTTTTTGCTGAGGGTAATCAGAGTGATGAGCAATTTGATTGGTCAACAGTTTGGAACACAATAACTCTCCTTCTAATTGAGGTAGAATTTTCAAACTTGGCGTAGGTGTCTATTAGGTAAATGTTTAAATTTGATGTACCGGTAGATGTTCATTAGGTGAATGTTTAAACTTGATGTAGATGTTCATTAGGTGAATGTCTTGACTGAGTTCAATGATTAATATTTCGAGTTGACGCTAAGCAGAGCTAATCGATTTCATTTGTCGATGGTTTGGGACAAGATAATCTTGATTCTATCTGATAGAGAGTGATGAAACTTAGTGTAATGTTTAATTGCTTGATACTTTTGAAAAAAATAAATGTGCGATTAATTAATATGTGTCATCTTTTTATTTTGGTATTTCGGCAAAGGAACATCAGCCTCACTGTTGGCTTGTTATGCTTATATTTGCCCTGTAACTAGAACAAAAAAGTATGTGGTATATAGTTAGCTAAATCAATGAACAAAAGTTCTTAAAGATGCATTATGGGAGATTTTTGATAGAGAGCTGGCCATTCTTGCTATAATAGTTCAAAAATAGATGATGAAAGAAGAATATATTGAAAATTTCAGTCAAATTACTTTATTCTGCTGAACAAAATTATCGCCATTGTAATTTTTGACTAGAAATAGGAGTCAACTATCTCTCTTCCTCCTATAAGAATGGCCGATCGTTTGATTGACAGGTGTTAACCCTACCTACATAATCTCGAGTAACGTTTTCAATGGCTGTGGTACCGTTAGCATATTCTGTTTGAGACGGGGTTGCAATTCAATTCGTATCACATTTATTTTTACTACAAATTAAAAATAAAACTTTTAATATATAATTAAGAAGCGAAAGTTTGAAAGAAATAGACCAAATCAATGAGGAATAATTATAGCCGACTTCTTGTTAGCCTGTGTGTACTATTGTACTTTAACTGGTAGGCCTACGTATTAAACTCCCGAAGCAGACAAATAGGAAACAGTGATCCAATGGGGCTACAATTCAACTGGGGTGATGTTAGCTGCGATGTTTATCAATTTCCATAATTTTTCTGGAAACGCAAGTGACAAAAGAGCGTATAATACTGACATCCAAACTCTCATTTTAACCACAACTAAATATAATATCAAGGCCGTATATATCAAACTTTCAATCAAATTGACTGACATGCGGTCTTGCTCAACAGCGGCCTCGCTTCATACACTCTATCATTTAGCCTCGATCTAAAATTTCCCCGAGTATGACGTCAACGTAACTGTTAATCTCTGCTTACGACGCCATTTTAGAATTTAATCAATCAATGAAATCCTGTTTAAATCCAAGCCGAATCCAAGCCATCTGGGGTCTACAGAGTTGATTTTGTTCTTGTTGTGTAAATAAAGAGCTAATTTATAATTTCTATGACATCTGAAGCCTAAATAAAGACTTGCAATAATCAGATTTAGCTCTTGCATAATATATGTTTAAATAGATGGTAATCATTGTCCTTGCTAACATCACACTGATAAGACGTCTAGTTTCTAATAATAACATATGGCCGGGTAAGTTTATTTATGACTGACTGTAACATCATTGCTTGAATTTGAAAATATCTACATGTATTAAAACAAGGTTATGTAATTGCTATTGAGAAATAGACATAAATATCTGGATTTAGTATAGGGCAATTCCACGGTAACGTACGTACATTTTGAACTTGTCACATTTTTATCACTTCCAATATTATCTAACCATGAATAACTAACTGTTTGAGTTTTTGTCCTCCGCCTTTCTAAGAAAGCAGGGGACTATTAAAATGGGTTCATCTGTCTGTCTGTTCGTCCGTCTGTCTGTCCGTCACACTTTTTGGGACACAATAACTCTCAGGACTTCTAATTGAGCTAGAATCCCCAAACTTGGTGTAGGTGTTTATTAGTTCAATGTCTTGATGGAGTTCGAAGATGAACATTTTCTGCCTAGGGTAAACAGAGATAAGCAATTTGATTGGTTGGTGCTTTGGGACATGATAACTTTCGTCTTTAGTTCTAATTAAGTGAGAGTGATGAAATTTGGTGTATAGTTTTATTACATCAATACCTTGACTAAGTTCGATAATGAGCATTTTCTGCTCAGGGTAAGCAGAATGATAAGCAATTTGATTGATCGAGACTTTAGAACACAATAACTCTCATTCTAATTGAGATAGAAAAATGTTCACACTTGGCAATTGGCATAGGTGTCTATTTGGCTTTGGGACACGATAACTTTAGTTCTAATGTGAGAGTGAGGACACTTGGTGTATACATGTAGTTTTATCACATCATTACCTTGACTAAGTTCGATAATGAGCATTTTCTGTTCAGGATAAGCAATTTGATTGGTCGAGACTTTGGAACACAATAGCTCTCTTTCTAATTGAGGTAGAATGTTCAAACTTGGTTTATCACCTAACGAATGTCTTGAAGGAGTTCGATGATAAACATTGTCAGCTTACTATAAGCAGAGCTAAGCGATCTGATTGGTTAATGCTTTGGGGCACAATAACTTTGGTTATAATTAAGCAAGAGTGATGAAACTCCCAGTATACATGTATATCGTTACCTTGACCAAGTTTGATGATGAGAATTTTCTGCTTAGGCTAAGGAGCGATAAGCAATTTGATTTGTCAAGACTTTGGAACGTAACAACTCTGCTTTTAATTCAGGTAGAGTGTTTAAAGATGGGTTCCCAGAAAAGTATTTATCGGGTGGTTATTTCCAATAAAAGTATGGCAATTTTGGTATATATGGAAAGTAGAGATATCCAATCTTACTAGAAAAATACTGGATTCCCCGAAAAACACTCATGGAGCGTATACAGGACAAAAATGTAAGGGTTCCCCTAATCAACAGCCCGACGATTATGACCTTCTGCACGCACGATGTCAAAGGTCACAAGCGAACATTGAGCGCTTGATGTACAAGTTGATAAACTTTATGAAGAGTTAGACGTACAATGCTTTCTGAGATTAAAATGACAGAAAAAGACGCGGGGAGTGGATAATCCGAGAATTTAATTAGGATTCGATATTTGTAATAAATAGTAAGCGATTAAAGACAACATCGTCTTATGTATGCAATGATTTCTCCTCTGACTCCCAAGACGTGACGTAAACATGACCTGGTTTGATCGAATTTTAATATCAGGGCATTCCTTCGCAATTACAATGTTTGAAAAGGATTTGAAGCATAATTATGACAAATTAATTAGTTTGAATATGTTTTTGGTCCATATATACCATTAAATCACCCAGTTTGTACGCGGGAACCCATCTTTAAACTTGATATAAATGTTCATTAGGTGAATGTCTTGACTTAGTTCAATGATTAACATTTTGAGCTAAAGCTAAGCTGAGCTAAGCAATTTCATTGGTCGATGCTTTTGGACAAGATAACTTTGATTCTATCTAATAGAAAGTGATGAAACTTAGTGTATAGTTGATAATCAGTTTGATTGCTTAATACTTTTGAAAAAAGAAATGTGCGATTAATTAATATTTATTTTGGGATTTCGGCGGGGGACATCAGCCTCACTGTTGGCTTGTTCATTTTTTTTGAAGACAAGTGAAGGATTTGCAGAATTTTATTTGATTTTTTTTACAGCTAAACCAATATTACTATTTATTTACTGTTGATCTGTATTCTACACTGCTTTAACAAAAATATCACTTTATAATGATAAACTTTTTCTTGAAATGGTTCAATTTTTCTTGGAATAGTTCAAAGATATAAATTTAGAAACCCCATATTGTGGGGATGAAATGGCTTTTAAAGGAGACCGGGATAATCTGTACGCGTAGATAGTGATGAAGTTTCTCTCTCTAATGCTTTCATTATACTGACCTGATTAACTTCCAACAATATATTCTCTTCAAAAAAAGTAGGGGATATTCAGAAACAATACAAAACTGCGGTCAAATGCACTGCTGTTTTTATTAGAGGTAACCAGTGTATGTTAATAACAGGCCAATTGCCTACACATGAACATAAACGGTTCATATGGGCGGCTTATCTGTCGGCCCCATTTCACTCGCAAAGAGATACACTGTCAAAAGTGAAAATTGACGTTTTTGATTTTTGTCTTAATAATGAGTAATTGCTCCACCAATTCATCGTGGCATGCTCGTAATCAACCATCCAATCACGATTTGGGGCAATCTGACCCACTCCTCTTGCAGTGCCACGGCCAATTCTTACAGTGTTGTTGGTTGATGTTGACGTCGACTAACACGTCTCCCGATCATGTCCCAGACATGCTCTATAGGGGAAAGGTCGGGACTAAATATAGCTGGCCAAGACATATGG